CTAATTCTAGATAAATGATAATGAAGAAAACTAACGTAATTTATGCCACATTTATGATTTTTCTCCAGACTAACATATTTCCCAAATATTTGGCAGTTATCCACTTTATATTAATAAAATATGGCACATTTAACATGGTCTACATTATTTTGTAGTATAGATTTGACCTTTCAAAATAATTAATCGAGATAAAGGATGTCGACGTTTAGGACGGGTCCGGGCAGGCAATGGACAATTTCGTCAGATCAGCCTAATTCACGAGGGCAGAATCGTCATCCTGGCAACCACAAGTTCCCACTCCACCAAAAGCCCATTCTTCATCACAATAACAGAACAAGGTTGCATCTGAAAATTCTTTATTACTTCTTTACACAATAATAGGAAAAACTAATCTAATTGTTTAAGAATCCTAAATCGTAACCCTAGAAATCAGAGGATGATAGTTTTTGTTCACGCATGTTGATGGTTCAACCGCCATAATTCACCGTCCTTTGATCAAGTAACGGCTCGCCGGTACATTTTTCCGGTGTTTCTGTGATTTGGTTTTTCCCTGATTCGACAATAAAATTGGAAGAAATGAAGCGGAATAAATCAGGTTTACGGACTGTTTTTCCTCACGAAACAAGATTCTTGTGAGAGTTTGAATTCGTCAGAGGATGATGAATGATCTGATATCATACTTTCTTTGTTGGGATAGTTGAGCTTGTTTGAGGTAATTGAATTTCGATTTCTGAATCATATTTTTCAACTTTTCTTTTTATATATATATTTTTTAACAATTTGCAGGAGTTGGTTTATTGATTATTTGTTTGTTTTTGTGTTATCATGTCATCGCGATCATTGTTATGATTCAATGAAACCTGCCGTTTGGAGTTTCATGATGCGGTGCTAGTTAATTTGTAGATCTGTAAGTTTTAAAACAAACCCTAGGGTTTCTTTACCTAACTTCTCCTCATGCTATCTCCTAGTCATGTGTCCCTTTGATAACGAAGATCAAGATATTCCATAACTTCTATTATCTCAATTTCTCTCAAGTCTAGTTTTGACCCTTTTTATGTTATAAGTGTCTGATATGCAGAATTTAGTTCGATCAGCTTGCATATGCTTGTATACCTATTACCTCTGTTGGATTCATATTTAATTTCCATATGAGGATGAATTACCGGAGGCATAGGCATGGGAAATAACATTGCCTCCAATTTTTTCAAAGCTCACGGTGGATAGAGGAAAGTGGTGTCCGCACTTGTATTTAACAATCCCAATTCTTGATCAGTTACTGGCCCATTACATTTTCATCAGGGCTTTTGTTGGAATTTTTCAAGCTATGAATGAAGGGCTGTATAGTAACTGGACTCGATTTGAAGCGAAGATGGATAAATGGACTAAACCCGTTAATCATTATTCTCATGTGGCTGATTCTGAGGCCCAACTTGTGCTGCTTATGGCAAGAGATGGTTGGATAGTTAAGGAGGCCTAAAGTAGGAAGAACGCTTAGATGCCACTCGATTTGATAAGGACCAAAGTGAATATCGTGATTGATAACTCAGGGTTTCCCTGAAAGATCTGAATGGAAGTTTTGTTCATGCATCAGTCTGTTTTAGAAAGCCACTGACACGGACTGGCTTTGGAGCTTCTAGAAATGGAGTAATCATGGCTTTTTTTTTCTCTTCTTTTTTGGTGTTATCATATGTCTAAAAGCTTTGTGGCGTTATTCTTTTTTATTTTTATGGTATATCTGCCTCTTTATTAGTTCCTATGAATCTATACAACTACATTTTTTATTTTTCTATTTTTTATGTAGTGAAATAGTATACTTTCAAAATTCTGGTTTAGTATAAAAGAAATTGGAAAATTGCTACTGCCAAATTGGCTGAGTATTGTCCTTGTCCTTGTTTGATCTTGGATTCTATTGTTCTGATGGCTTTGGATGTAAAAATTTCAATTGTTCTTCTATTTTTGCCAGAGTTTGTTTGATGATCTGTTTAATGTTTGGTTCAAGATCAAAATTGGAAGAAAAAAAAATATAATATCAATTTTTCAATGAATTTCACGTATGTATCCAAAATGGTTTGTTTCTAGACTAAACTTGTGTGCCAACAGTTTAACATTTTTTTTTTTTAATTGTAGAGTGAAGGTTTGGCAGTGATATATTTATCTGTAGAGGCTGAGGATATGGATACAAATGCATGTAATTTTGATAACTTGCCACCTCGAAAGCGGCTTCTGGCTGGATTCAAGAGACAGAATTCAGATCTCACTTCCCCTTCCTTGTCAAAATCCGATATCCCTCTCAAAAACCCGTTTATGGCCCAATTTACTGATCCAAACCTCTCGATTGAAGAGATTGTCGAGGCCTCGAGAATTGCTGCTATAGAGGCCGCAAAAGTTGCCGAGGCTGCCAAAGCTAAAGCGGAGGAGAAGGCTGCGAAAGCAGCCAAGGCATTTGCCGCAGCTAAGAGTGCCTTAGACCTTGTGGCCACTCTTTCTGATGAGGCAGCCGAAAAGGAATCATGTTTGAGAAAGAACAAGATGAAGAAGCATGTGAGTGTCGAAGAATTGTACAGTGAGAAGAACAAAGGCACTATTAGCTGTGGTACGGATGAAGAATTGGCTCGCAACTTGCACAGGTCCATTAATAGTTCCCCCAGAATTTCGAAGAATTCTGATGTCAAGATTCACAAGCATAAGAAGTTGAAATCGAAAGGCTCGAATTTTTCCGGGAGCAAGAGTAATGGTTTATTAGGAAATTTAGAGAGTGAAGGTCCATCGAAGGAGATAGATAAGGTTATGGTAGATTTGAACATGTCAAAGCCTGATAAAAGTGATCAACTAAAGGTGGATAGTATTGATGGTCTCGGTAGAAAGAGGGGAAAGATTAAGCAGAAAAAATTGCCCTTGAGCATTTGTAGTTTCATGGATCAAATTGCCCCAGAAGAGGAACTGAATAATAATAATGGGACATTGTTTTCTTCAAATAGTAATATAACACCTGTTGAGAAGGCATCCTTGTGGAAATGTCAATCTGTGAAAGCGCCAGCTTGCCTTAAACAAAATAAAGTTATGCGGTCGTAAAATGTTTGATAGGTTTGTTGTCTGAATAACCGAAGGCCATCGTGGGAAAGAGTCTGGCCAAGGGTATTTCTTTGTTGTGGATTTTTGTATTCACAAGAACACGAGGCTGTATCTTTTTCTCTCTCTCTCTCTCTCTTTTTGTTTTGGTTATGTCCTGTGTGTGATAGATGTAGAATTGATTCTTGAACTTAAATGTATATTGGACTTTGATTGCTTGCTTGCTTGTGATTGTTGTTGGAGATTATCTTTATCTCGTAAATGGACTTTGAAATTGGAGAACTGCGTGCTCCTTTCTGTGTTCCCTTGTTCTAAAGCATTTAGACTTGAATGTTTTTATTTCAAGTTTAATTTGCTTGTGAATTGGATGAACAGTGTAAATTTCTGAAACAGAAGCAACTTCATTAGTTAGATAAACACTTAACACGTTCATTTTATATTGGAGTGAAAAATGTAATTACAAACTTCTCGAATTTATTAGCATAGGGAAAAATACAAATGTAACTATGAACTTAATTAAATATCACGTAGATTAGTATAAACAAACAGAATTTTTTTTTTTTTTGAGCTTTTATGATGCCTCTCTTCATCCATGTCCTTTTGTTTGTTCCCTATTGCAGCTATTTTTGCACTTAGAGTATATTTTCCCCAACTACCAGAGAGGNATATTTCCACTTTAAGATTCCAATTCTTTCGATTTATCCTTAAAAAAATAAAAAGAAAATGAAACTCTTAACTTATCTTGGTTTATCCCAAATATCTAAAAGGTAATAACTCTATTAGTGAAAGTTCAGATATCAACTTGTGTTGTTCATACTTCCTCTTATCAAAACTATTCATTTTCTGGCTCTGATAATGGTCACTGCAAAATCACGTCATTTCGGGTTACTATATTCAAAGAACTAAATTCTGATCAATATAAAGTCTACAGCTTCAGTTTAATTTCGATTGAATCTATCTGCACAAATAAGGATAAAACTCAAAAGAGTAACATACCTCTCTATTACTGATGTGAAACAACAAACAAGTGTGGTGTTCCCAGGGATAATTGTACATTCTGTTCAAGACCTCACAAGGTCTTGAGCATAAACCTGGAATAATATTTCAACGACTTGTCCAAATTTTAATCACATTCAAATTACGTACCTATCATAATGTGCTCCAAAGGTGCATGCATATCAATACATTTTGAATTATGTCAAAATAACAAAATTCTTAAAAAAAAAATATTTCAAAGTAGCTATTTTTAATAAAAAAAAAAATCATCTTAAATTTGGCTTGTGTATGAAAGTACCCTATTATGTTATGTCCCACAATTACAAACACTTCATTAATTAGCGACTTTGTGGTTGTGGTCTATCATATTTCCACAATAAAAGATTCTCATCAATCACTAAGAAATTTTTAGAATTAAAAATAACCAAGTGCAGCTATCCATAACTTAACCGGGTAAGTGATTTGCAAATTAAGTTTCTTGGTTTTATATAACCTATTTTTATTTGGGATAAAATCTTTCTCACCCCAATACAAAGATACATTAAGTTTTTCACACCGCCCCACTAATAATCTAACTTTTTCACCCCGAGAAGTGCGAAGGTTATGCGAATGCCTTCTCACTTTTAACTTTCGCATATCAATGTCATTGCATAATTGTCGCATATTCGTCGCGCAATTCCTTCACACTTTAACTTTTTTAACACCAGAAAGTGTGAAGGGATATGCGAATGCCTTCGCACTTTTAAGTTTTGCACAATGTCATCGCGCAACTATCGCATATTCATCGCACAATGTCTTTCGCACTTTCTGGGGTGAAAAAGTTAACTTATCTATGGGCGGTGTGAAAAATTTAATATATTTCCATAGTGGGGTGAAGACTATTTTCACTTTTTATTTTCCGTTTTGCACAATATCCATGTGAATAGTTTCTTCAAGAATCCAAATGGAGTTGTGTAGACTACGACATAAATGACTTTAAATAACAACATTTACTGTAATACTTTACAATTATTGGTTTATGTATCATATTATTGTAACACATTTAATATAAGTATTACAAAAAATTAGCAAAAGTATCATATAAGTGTTACAAAAAACTATCAAAAGTATTACCTTTGACCTTTAGGTAACACAAACAACTGTAACGTCAATATTGTATTATCTATTGTCTATAGTAACATTTTATAGTTTTTATATAACATTTTATAGCTTTTACGTAGCATTTCTTTAGTGTTACCTAAAACCATTTATGTTGTAGTGATCATTTATTATTTGGTATGTTACATTACACAACTAACTATATTCATTCATTTTTAGGGGTGGCCTACAATAACTTTGGCAATTTATTAGTTATCATTTTATTATAGTTGCATTTTGGGGTCCAAGCCCATCTACCCCTTTAGCAAGTAGCAACAAAGCTTGGGCATGTTGCGATGCACTCTATTATATTTGTTGTCTTTGAGGAACTTTTTAATATACTTTTCTACATTCTATTGAAATCATAAGAATGGTAAAAAAAAATTATTATGTAACTAATTTACTTTCAATTGATTTTTCTATGAAACATTCAAAAGACGTAGAATTTGTGTGTGTGAATCTAAAAAAAAATGATTTAAGAAATGATCAGAAGAAAAATGATAAAATGAAGACGTTGAGATACGCTCTCTTTAAGACAAAATAGCCCCATATATTACCCATAGTTCACGGTTAATGCCTTCAAGATACAACAACTTTTGGTTTCTGTATAACGGTAACTCACCTAATCCTTCAGCGAACAGTACTCAAGTTTCAGAACTCTCAAGATATAAACGAACACAAAGAACACATGATGCTTTATGAACTTTAAATGATGCAAAGAGCTCTTAAAATTTTATGTTGGTGTTGAATGATCCAAGCACGTGGGCGTCTAAAAGAAGTGGACTACACTTCTAGGAGATTTAAGGGTCAAAAGTCACCTTTATAGACAAATTTGGTCGGAAACAGACACAATAGGTCGAGCTGAAGGCTATTGAAAGCCAACAGGTTTGACCTAGGGTCGTGCCGTGACAAGTGTTACGCCGCTAGTCGCACCCTACAGAGCCAGTTACATCGTGTTGGGATGGTCGTCGCACCGGGACGATATGATGAAGATCGCGTGTCTCGATGCTCAGTTTTGCCTCAAAGGATACGAAGACCACCTCCTTCTTGACAATAGGTTGCTTCAAGGATGTTAAGACACCTCCTTTTCAGTGATAGGATGAGATAGCTTAGACTTGGATCCCACTGTTCTAAAAATCGACCTAGGCGGCCGCCTAGGCGCTAGGCGGTGCCCGACCGCCTCCGATTTGCACAAATTGGCCAAGATGGACTCCGTACTTAGAAAATATTTCACCATTATATTTTACATGTTCTGCCTACCGCTGAGGCCGTCGTAGTTTGAATTCTGAACGTGATCTTCATGCCAACTTCGACTAAAATGTAATGTCATTGACTTTCGATCTTCTTGCAAGGTCTTCCCGATAAATGATTCATCAGGTCGAACGATTAAGTATTTTGTTTTCCACGACCGTAACATAGGTACTATATGATTCATAAACGAGTACCATATACATGCATCAATGATACTATGTCCATCTACGAAAAATTAACATAACCTAATATAAATACTTGGTATATATGAACAATAAAAAATAATTATTGCTACTTTCTCTTTTTTTGGGTGAATATGAAAAACAAAAACTTTGTTTACCAAAAAAAGACGAGCTCAAAGTTCGCCGAGATGGTCGTTTGCCTTTCGCCAGAGTTCTTGACAACCATCTTTCGCTAGAGTTCTTCTCGCTTGTCGTTCGTCGGAGATCGTCGCCGCAACACCTCCAAAAAACAAGGGTAAAATCGATTTGGAGAAAGGGGGAAGGGAGAAAGGGGAAGGAGAAGAAAAAAGATGGAGAAAGAATAAAAAAATATGGCAAAAAAATGGTTAGTGGAAGGCGATGATACGAGTGATTGATAGAATGAGTTTGGATAATTCTTTAATGATTTGAAAATCCGTGTATTTGTATGGAATTTTTCAAAACTTTTTAAGAATTTATAAATTCTGTTTATTTAATTTAGACTTTGTATGACTTTTAAAAGTCTCGAGTCATTTATTTGAAATTTTAAAAAGTCTCATAAAATTCTAAGGTTAATTTATTTTAGACTTAAATTTATTAAGATTTTTTTTAAAAATTTGTTAAGATTTCAAAAGAAAAAACTATATACAATTTACTTCAAACTTTACATCCATACTTAAGATTTTACAGATTTTCTTCTAAATTTGAAAATTTTAAAAAGTCTCTAAATATTGTTCAAAATCCCGAATGAATATAATAAAAATAAAAATTAAAAAATCTCTAAATGTCATTCAAAATCATAATGAATACACCTATTGAAAGAAGTTTTTGTAGAGAGTGCAAAGGGCGAGGTTCCTACGAATCCTCTTTCGTTTTACATACGAGCCCCTCCAACTCCGACGTATTTGAGAATTGGCCCCCCTTTTTCCCTCTTTCGGCAATTTATCGCAAAGAAAGGAAAGTGCATATTCCCCCCATTTCACACAATCATTGCTCTTTGATTCCAGCAAGAACACAGTCAATCTTATCACGTTTTATTTTCTATTTTCAAATTAAAGTAGAAATCTTGAGGACCCGCACACACACATATATAGGTATATACACACACACAGTAGATAGAGAAACTAGAGAGAGCGAGAGTTGGGTTTTCCGGTTGTATGTTTTAGCCTTTTAGGGTCACAACCGAGTAGGAAACTGTGTGGTTGAAGATTGAATTTGAGGATGACGGAGGTGATCCTCCATATTTACGATGTCACTAACAGTGGGAACGATAAAACCAACAACACTATTATGCAGATCAACAAGATCTTCAAAGATGGAATTGGACTCGGAGGGATTTTTCACAGCGCTGTTCAGGTTTTCGTAGATCCCTACTTTTCTTTTATCAATTTATGCGTGTGATGCTTAGTAATATGTGTTAATTGCATATTGTTTCTTCGCTCTGTGAATTATCTGGGGTTTCTCATCTGTTGAATGTTGATTGAGTAGTTAGTGGAGTAGATCTAGGGTTTTACTGTGGAATTGATTCAATGTTCAAGTTTCTGGTCCGTGCATGTGTCTGGTCTTGGCTTGAGTCTTGAAGTAAATGTTTTTGGTTTTTGTTGTGTAGAAATTTGTGTTATTAATTTCTGGGTTTTTGTTCTTGTGATCCCCTCATGAGGTTGCCACCTTCTTGGTTTTAAATATTTATCTGTTGTGTGCCTGTTAAATAATATTACAGATTTTTCCGCTGCTTTTAAGCGTTTTAATATAGCTGGGCCTTCCGGTTTCTCAACTGGATTGTTGATGCAGCTGTCTGATAATTGAGGGTTTTGTCTTGAGTTCAGAGAATGAAAAGTTCTTGAATATTCTTTTTACCCTCATTTTTTCTGTTTGACAGTCATGTTTCTCGGGTTTGGCGGAATGAGATTGGCATGGATGTCCTGATTCATGCAATCTAGTAGTTTCTATTAACCCTAGGCCTGCCCATTTACAACCTTAGAACCAAGAAATTAATATTAATTTGTGATTGAGCTAGAACCAGATGAAAATTTTTCTTGTCGCATGGTGCCATTCACTCAACTTGTTAATATTACAAGTTGTAAGGTATGTTGCTCAGTGTTGTATATATGGAATTTACTGTCATTAGGGTTTTCAGTTGTGGAACAGTGATCCACTGGTGTTCGTACAGAGGTTCCACAAAGGGAAAAGAAAGAAATCCATGAATGCTGCTCTTTTTGAATTCATAATCAAAACATTGTATAAATTAGAGTTTTATTGTACAATGCACATGTAAATATGACTGATTTGTACCTTTCAAGTGCCACATTCTGTCATACACCTTTCCATTACTTATGTAGTAGAAATCAGTCAGTTTATGTAAAGATACAGTAGTTTCTTCATCCATTTTATTTTATCCTTTCTGTCCTGTTGAGCAGCTTATAACATATTTTACATGTTAGTCGTTCTTGGCTGATGGTTTTCCTACATGATACTAAGTGCATCTGTACTTTTACCTAGCCGAGTTGTTTTATGCTCCTTTAACTTGAATTTCACTTGGTGAACAGATTTATGGAGATGAAGAATGGTCCTTTGGGTTTTGTGAACAAGGTACTGGTGTGTTCAGCTGTCCATCAACAAAGAATCCAATGTACACATATCGCGAGGGCATCAAACTTGGGAAAACAGCCTTCTCTATCTTCAAGGTTAATCAGATCCTCAGGGAACTTAGTAGGGAATGGCCGGGGCACTCATATGATCTGCTTTCGAAGAATTGTAATCATTTTTGTGATGAGTTATGTGAAAGACTTGGTGTACCAAAGCTTCCTGGTAATCTGCAGGACCCCACCACTCTCTCTCTCTCTCTCTATATATATATATATATATATATATATATATATATAATCCCCCTCCCCCGTGTTTGTGTGTACTGTGGTTTTTACATGCAGAAGATTTGTCATGTAGTCTTATTTCACAGTTCGATTTCTCAAAGTCGTGACATGGTATATTCTGCTACTATTTTGAAACTTTAAGCTCTGCAACAGGTTGGGTCAACAGGTTTGCACACGCTGGAGATGCTGCTGTTGAGATAGCTGGAAACACTGCCTATCGGGTAAGATTCTTTGTTCATGCTATGACTTCCTTTGATCATTTATTGGATCTGTTTAGTTTTTAGTTTATTTGTTTTTAATTTTTGTGGAAACATTTGTCATCAAGCCGAGTACACGATTGCATATTACGAACCAATATGGACTAGAAGGAATATCATTCTTGGGCTATCTAAGCATGATTAAGAAATTTTCTGTGAGAATTCAAATGTGAGCTTGTGATGCCTTTCGTATACAGCCCATTTTCTTCTGCGGGAGGGTTAAGTATGAATACTACCCCTGAAGTTCAAATATTATTGCTTTTTTTTTTTTCCTGATANGGATTTGGTGTTATTGATTTTTTTTTCTTTCCATTAACTAAATTCAAAAGTGAACGAGATGCTTGCGACACTCAAAAAAATAATACTTGTGATTTGGAAAGATAAATGGAGTTCTTTGTAAGTAAGCTAATGTTTGGATGTAGTTATACAGTTATCCACCAAAGTTGTGTATATTTAAATCTTTTCCTTTAAATATGGTTTTTTTTCTACTTTTTTCTTTCCTTTCTCAGTTTAGGCAAGCCAAAACTGAAATAGTAACGGCCAGCAAGGTGGCTTATCGGTTTCTAGCTGGAGTCGCATCCAATAACTCAATGGTTTCCTCAGAATCTTCTGGAAACTCGGCCAGGGGAAGTCCAAGGTTTCAAGGTTCTTGGTTCAAGAACCTCATTTCAAATGGCGCTAAACCAGCCAGCAGCTCAGAACTTGAAAATGGAGATGAAGAAGATGCACCTCGTCATCAGCAGCCAAAACAAGATGATGGGGCCCCTTTGAGATCAAACTCTCATCGTGACATATGATAATTCTACACATGATGTCCAGATGCTTAAAACTACGTGGAATCTAAATGTTGTATCTCGAATTTGTTGTAAAATGGTTGGTTNCTGTGAATTCCTTTCGTCAGCTCAAGGAAATTAAATTTGAAAATAGATTTCGGTGTCAGCTGTTATTCATTTTATGTTTCAAGTTGTGATCACTGAGAAGAGAAGTGATTGCATAACATGTTTAGAATGCTGCTTCTGATAGGTGCAGTTTGCACATTCTGTTTAGTATATTCTATATGACACTTCTGGGATGACTGCAATACTGGAGTTATTCTGCCGTAGGGTTATTTCAGCTTCCATTTTTTTTTTTTTATTTTGCATGTCTACTGAAAATGTAAGGGAAACAATATTTGTGTTTGGAATTCTCTTGTGTGTGCTTGATATTAGTCACGTAAAAGATTTCACACATTAGAAAACACATTTCCTCCTATATATAAATCTAGGGATGTAAATGGGTCGGGTCGGGTACGGGTTTTGGCAAACCCGAACCCAACCCGCATATAATTTACTCTACCCAAATCTGACCCGTTACCCGACTAGTGATCTTCGGGTTCAGGTTGGGTTTTACCGAACGGGTTAGTGGGTTTTTGTCGGGTAAACGGGTAACCAGAGTCTTAAATTTGGACTTTATTCGATCCATCTCGTTTCATATGAAAAAATAAAATAAAATAATTTTACAATTAAATATAATGTACCAAATAATTTATTAACTAAGTTTGACAATAAAATATTATATTATTTTTGGAATAAGTAATAAGATATAATTATTTATCTTTTATAGTCTATTTAATAATATAACATGTAAAAATTAAGTATTTAATTTTTTATTGTACAATAAACAAAATATGATAATAAAATCATAAGAAATCAAATAAATTTAACCATTAATTAAAATTATAATAGATAATCTAATTTTTAAAAATAACACATTGACTACTTTTATATTTATAATAAGTTACAAAAATATATATATATGTATGTGTATATATAAGATTCAGTTATTGCGGGTAAACGGGTAGGGTAATCGGGTCGGGTTTTCCTACTATACCCGCACCCGACCCGACCCGGGGTTCGGGTAGCATAATTCTATCGGAAACCCAATCATCTCGGGTTTACCGAACCTGAAAATGCGGGTAACCCGACCCTACGGGTTTTATTGACATCCCTATATAAATCCTATGTATAAATGGAGTTTTCGAGCCTTATCTTGTGTTATATAATTCAACTAGTACAACACTCGTGTATTACACGGGTGCTTGTTAAATAATTTATTCTTAAATTTTTAAAATTAATAAGAAAAATTGTTTTAAAATTTAATTACTTTTTTACAAAAAATATATATTATTATATATTATAGAATGACACTTTGTTACTTGATCATTTACATATGTTATGTTATAGTAACTTTCTAACTTATGTCATATAACTACTTGGAATATAAATATATTAATTGATAAAGTTTCATTATTTTTAATTAATATTAAATAGTAATTTTATTACTGTTATAAAGATAAATTTTATAATTTTTTTTATACATACAATATGGATGTTAAATCGAAACTCTTCAAGAGATAATTAATTTGATATATTATACATTAAAAACTGGTAAAAAATACAAAAGTTATTAACCTTTACAATACATTTACAATTCAATGGTTATAAATTATAATAAGAAATGATATTACAATACAATTAATACATGTAACATGACCATAAATAATCAACATATATATTTATGGACAGTCTGAACCTAATTATTTTTGGATTTGAAGTAAATTAAAATCTACCCAAGCCAAATAATAAAACATGTAATTTTGCCACATAGGATCTCGAAGCATGCGAGTCTGTTACTTAAGCTCAGCATGTTTGAATTAGGGTCAAAATCTTTTTTCACCCCGTTATATATCTATTCTTTCTTTTACACACCACCCCGTCAGATAACTTCTTTTACACCCCAAATTCACGAAATGCTATGCGATATTATACTCGCATGTCCAAATGAATCAGCGCATATCCAACCGATGCATAATTTATGACTATCTGAAAACATTTCGATATTTAGGGATTGCATATCCAAATCAAACGCATAATTTACAAATACGCGACATATTTCGCATTTTTAAGAATCGCATATCCAAATCGAATGCAACATAATTTACGATGATTATGCGCCTTCTTTTCGCAGGCCTATATCGACCTTGAAAATTTATGACTATGCGAAATGTTTCGCATATAATTCGCATAATTTGTTGACTTCACATTTTTTAGTATTTGCATATCCAAGTCAATCGCATAATTTACTAATATGCGAAAAACTTTTGCATATATCCAATATAACGCTGGATAATTGACAATTATGCGACATTTTTTCGCTCGCATATTTAAGAATCGCATAACCAAATCGAATAAAGCATAATTTATTTGACGATTATGCGCCATTTTTTCGCAGGGCCATATCGACCTTGCAATTTTACGACTATTCGGAATTTTTTTGCATATCTGTCGCATAAGTTACGCACCTCATTAAATTGACTGCTTTTTCACAGGTGAGGATTTTGTCTCTTCATTTATCATACAGGCAAAAAAAACAGTGATCTCTAACAATTTAACGTCTACACTCTGCACCATTCATCTACTGCATTTTTCTGTTTCTTTCGTTTTAATGGTTTTTGTTGTTCATTTATTTGAATGGCTAGCAACCGTGTTAAATTATTCCTGCACTATGGTGGTTCGTTTTTCGGGGGTTCATATCTTGGTGGAGTGGCAGAGCTGATGAGAATAAATTATGGCCGACAATTGTATTCTGAAGTAGTTTCTCGTGCTCAAGCATTATTAAAGGCCAATCCTTATAATTTTGAGTACATATTGTGGGCAGTATTTGATGGAAGGGAACAAGATGTGAAGATGAAAATCGAATCCAGTGATGATATCTTAGAGCTGATTGAAGAATAAGGAAATCCCAACATTTACCTGGAGTTGGAGAAGCGAGTAAATGTAGGGATTTCGGTGACTGCGTAACAAAGCTTCACGCAAATTATGGCGTCCCAAGGTGTATTTCCCAGTTCTTTTGGTGTTGGTAGTTCTGCATTTTCTCACGAGGCCCCATATTCATATCAAGCAGACCCTAGTTCATTTACACATACTGGATATCCTCGGGACGCTAATGAAGGATCATCACGTCGAGTACAGTGTCAGCAGATGTGCTCTCGGTGCGGGGTCACCGGCCATAACAGGGCGAAGTGCCTTCTATACGATGGTGTTAATGACATTTTTTCAAATGAAGAAGGTCAAAACGCACGAACTCCTCATCCAAGAACAACATCGAGACGCCCGAGGAGATGTCGTACTTGTAAAGAAACAGGTCATAAATCGTCATCTTGTCCATCATGTCCATTCCATGACAATTTAGATGAAGATGGAGACATTATGTAATGTTATGTACCTCATTGGAGTTTTTAATTGGTAAAGCAATTTAACGGAAAAAATACTTTTAACGGGAAAAATACTGTGTTGGTACCCTAAGTCGTGACCTGCACACACACGATTGACTAACAGAAAGTAGTGAAACTGGGTTGATTGCGTGATCCGCATAACATGTCCCATAATAATCGCACAATTGGGTTGATTGTGCGATTCCCATATCATGTCCCATAATAATCGCACAACTGGGTTGATTCGCAGGTTCATTCGCCTAGTCTTCAACCGCATAATTAACGAATCGTATATCCAAATCGAAAGCCGCATAATTTGTGACTATCCGCCATTTTTTTCGCATATCCATATGGACCGCATTGCCGCATTGATTGATTGTCTGCACCGCATATCCAAATCAAACGTTCTTCGCATATTATTCGCATAAGTTACGCACCACATTGATTGATTGTCTGCTCTTACACGTAAAAAACTGTGACGATTTGCATGCTTCCTCATTTAGTTGTCGAGTTGATGTATATCTACCTAGCTTTAAATGCTATCTATAAATATTAACCTTTCATTCTCTTTGTTGAATAATTAACTTTTCACTTCTCAAAATCCTAGCTTTCGATCGCAGTCGCAGCCAAAAAAAAAAAAAAACCAAGGAGGCGCACGTTTGCGAAAAAAAATTGGAAACGATTTCACCCTAGGAAAAGATCGCGATTCGCTTCCGTGGCGTGGACTGGACAGAGGATGAGGAAGATATTTGCTACCGATTGTTTTTCAAAAAGTGCCGTCAGAAGGCAGACATACACCAAGGCCCTGTGTTCAATTCCTTGTGGGCAGAAATTTCAAGTTTACTGAACCAAACGCTGAGTTATGCATTGAAGAGGGAGTATACTATTTCCCAAGTCCGGCGAAAAATTCAGCGGCTCAAAAATTATTTCGATGAATTTTTTGCTTTCCTGAGGATTCCAGGCGTCCTCTTGTGTCCTGGTTCAGGCTTTGTAGAGGTTAACCATATGTACTGGGTGCATGTGCGGGATGAGGTAAATTTCATTTGATTTTTTATTTTAGTTTGTTCAAGCATGCATTTTTGTGACGCGGCCATAATAACCTAAAAAGATTCAAATTTATTACACAGGAAACCGACGCTCAGGCATTTTTCCATTTGGAAGGATTCCCTTGGTATCATGAGTGTTACGAGTTTTTACCGAGCGCAACGCAGCGGCTATCGACTTGGAGGGCGGGCCTGGTGCTTCGGTTGACGACCCAATCTGGAGGGAAGACATAGACGATGATGTTGATGATCAGATCCATCAGCCACCACCAAAGGTGGAAGTCATCGATCTCGACCCTTAGAATCCATTGGACATGTAATCAAAAGTTGTTTAGCTTATTTTGTTGGACTGACTGCAACAATATAAATATTCTTTTCTTCTGTCAAGTATGTGTTTAATCATGATTCATATGTCAAAACGAAACAATATGTTGCATGGACAATGAAACCATTAATGTCCGTCCACAGAGTTTTCCCAGCAAAATCAGCGACAATATTCGAAGGGAAATTATTATTGAAAGGAATTTCGCAGAACTGGGAACAAAGTGGGATAAATCGCATTGTGTTCGCATAACGTTATGAAAAAATAAGTAAAAGTAATTTATATTGTATTTTGTAATCGCATATCCAGGCTAGATCAACCGCATCATTTAGGATATGTGAAAAAATGTCGCGTAATTAGATTATCGCATATCCAAATCAAACGCTGCATTATTTATGAGTAACGAACATAATTTACGATTCGCATATCCAAATCTATAAGACTAGATAACTATCGATTATGCGTATTTTTTTTCGCATATTTACGAATCGCATATCCATATAAACCTCGCATAATGTATC